TGGGTTGTGCGGTCTAAGCCACCCCAAACCCCGCTCTTCAGGGTTGGGGAGTCGGGTCGGAAAATCCCTCGGATTAGTCTATGTGAAGCCAAAAGCGCCCTAAAATGCTGCGCTAATCCCTGGGTACCCTGCACAATCGTTTGAAGAACGCATATCAGGATTGCGGCTAACGTCACACACACACACACATTCCTGCAGCCCAACCACAGGTTGCCTTAAATAAGAGCTCTTCCGCCTTGGCAACAGCTTTCGCGCTTCTCGGATGATCGAGAAGGCAATCCTCAGAATAAGGTCTCACCATTCGACAAGCGAATGGGAGATCCAGGTTTCACACCCTTGAAATGAACCAGCTAACTTCAATTTGAGGGCCTGTGTTGAAGAATGACTTTTTCTTGGATTTATTAATGCAGATCAGGGCATGGCTGGCTGGCATTGGTAGGTGTTGTAAGTCAGCAGTCCTTTTTCTGCTATTTGGTTCAGTCTTTGGTCAGGGTCCTTTCCTAAAATAGGCACCGAAGATAGATGTTGGACGCTTCCCTGGTGCATAATGTGATACTGGGCTTGTCAGCCTGTAGAGTGCACGGAGAACAAATCGCTTGGCGAGAGAAGAAAAATCTTAACTCGGCGGCTCAGCGATACCACCTCAGGCCTATAGAAGTGAACCAAAACACATACCAGAAAGAAAGAAATGTCTAGCAAAATATCAAATAAAAGAACAAGAAGCTTCTAGGGGCTCCTGGCCTTACTACTAGGAGCATTCTTACTACTAGTAACAAGAAGCTTCTCTGTCCAGACCTGTAGGTGTCTACATCGATCTTGATCTCGGTGTTTTGGGTCACCATCTTGAGCTTCTCCAGGATCTTCACTGCTACTCGGTCTTGAGCATCCCTAGCAGCACTATGCAGCACTCATGTATCGCATCGGCATCGCAAGCAAAGTTAGCTAAGAACACCTCACCATCCCTGCTGAATTTGAAGTTTGAAAGGTAATCAGGAACTTCACTCACTCACACACACTCTCTCTCTCTCTCTCTCGCACGAGGGGATTCGTTCAGAAAACCTGAACAACATCAAGTGCACCATGCGCAGCTCCTGCCTTTCGCAAGCTCTCAAGAGATTCTTGTAGATATCGAGCCGCTCGACTTTCCAGACCCTAGCCTTTGCGGCAAAAACTGTCTTGAAGAGCGGCAACATCTGACAATCAACTAGGAGCAAGGACGCTTGGGGGCTCCTGGCCTTACTACTAGGAACAAGAATGCTACTAGTAGCAAAGGGCATCGCTACAAACGGAGCAAGGACGCTACTAGGTTCCAAAGCGTCAAGCTGCTCTGTCAGCGGCGTCCAGCGCCTTTTTCCACCTGAGCCATCGCTGTTTCCGAGGCTCCGCTGTTACGACCGTGCTTTCTGCGCCCTTCCCCCACTTGTTGCCACCCACCTGACACCCTTCGGAGCCCTCGCAAACCGGATCCTATAGAAGAAAAAGGGAAGCCGTCCAATCTCAAGTCAGGATTAGTAGGCCCCCCTATTTACCGAACCTTGAAGAATCGCACAAGTTGAATGTAGTATTGTTAGGAGCAAGGACGCTACTAGGGGCTCCTGGCCTTACTACTAGGACTAGGAGCAAGGACGCTACTAGGGGCTCCTGGCCCTACTGCTAGGAGCAAGGACGCTACTAGGGGCTCCTGCCCCTACTACTAGGAGCAAGCTACTAGGGGCTCCTGCCCAAGGACGCTACTAGGGGCTCCTGGCCTTACTACTAGGAGCAAGGAGGCTACTAGGGGCTCCTGGTATTGGTGGTAATTTCGTCCATGGATTAGTAATGTTGGTGTTAAGAACCCCCCAGTGAATCCGAGCCACGCAACCAAGTCAATTTTCAAATTCCAGCTTTCTGGGAGAGGTTTTGATGTTTTTGATCATGCTGCATGCTGCCATGGCCATCGTGCTGCAAATCTCTTTTCCAACTCATCAATGAGGTCTTTGCTGATAGCCTTTCCGCTACTTTTCATCCATTGGCAATGACTATTGTTCTACACGTTGCTTTCCACACTTTTCCAGAAAATGTGTAAGGTTCAGGGTTGATAGACTTCGCTCGCAAAGGGCACCCTCCACCTCTAAAAAATCTAAAGGCTCAGTTTATGCTGTGCCCCTTGGCTTTTTTCCCTCTCAGGTGAGGGTCTCTAATAGGTGAGGGTCTCTAGATTTTATCTCAGGTCTGCCACCTCCACTTCTTCCAGCCTTTTGTGCTTTGTAGAATGCGCAAGCTAGGAGCAAGGGCGTCGCTGCTACAAGGACGCTAGTTACTAGTAGCTCCTGGCATTACTACTAGGAGCAAGAAGCTACTTACTCGTAGCAAAGGGCATTACTACGAGTAGCATTATTTTAGAAACAGTTTGTAACGAATCGGGTCAGCACATTTGGGGGGTCCTTTTGGGGGCGTGGGTGGGTACCGACCTGCAACCTAGTACCTAAAACCATGATTCATGATTGTCTCACACTATATGCTAGCTACTAAATCATATTGGACGTGTCAGAGATGACGTCTTTCTCCAGACTTGATAGGTGGTTTTCACTTGTGTTTGGTAAGAAGTGTGCTTTGATTGTTTGCATGCTGCATGCCCATGACCAAAATGCAAAATGTGATAACCCGTCCCGTAACGAATGCAATTGAAAACCTCTTCCCGGCCCCAATCCATGTACAATTACAATAACAGCTGATCGCAAAACAGCGGCTCATGACAAGAATGCCTGGGACAAGAAGCTGACAAAAAAGCTCATGACAAGTTGTTCAGGGGGAGTGGACCCCATGAATGGTACCTCAGGCCCTGTTGACGTTCTATGCGGGGCGATTTCTTAGTCCATAGTAGGCTGGAGTCGGAGGCCATCGCCAGTAGGTTGGAGGCCATCACTATTAGGTTGGAGGATGTTGGAGGCCATTGCTATTAGGTTGGAGGCCATCCGTATACAGTCTGCATTTTATCTTCGACTGGCTCTTCTGCAACGGGTGCTTAGCCTTTCATGGCTTTTCTATGCCTGCTCTCTCCCCTAGTAGCGTCCTTGCTCCTATTCGTACGGCCAGGAGCCAGAAGCCCCTAGTAGCGTCTTTCTATGCCTCTCTCTCCAGCCTTTCCATTGGTTCCAGTTCGTTTCTCTCCGACCAAGATGCTCCCCATGCTTTGCGCATGCCTCGGCGCAGCGTGCGAGAACGTCCTCGTCCGCGTCGGAGGATGTCCGCTTGCCGCGGACCTTCCGCCAATCCTCGAAGACCTCACACCAACGGCGCGGTGTGACAGTGTGCATAATGCGAGGTGACTATCAAGGCGTCCAGCATTCAAGCCATTGTCTTACCGCCGGTTTGAAACCTGGCATGCATCTGCCTACGCACAAAGATGCATGTTGAGACATGTGATATGCCATCGTTGTCATGTAGATTGATGTAATTAATTTTTCACATTGTGCTCGGAGTCATCTTCTTCGTTCTCTCCAAATTTCTCACCTTGTTGTCGCAAATTGTCACCCAATGCTCATCGGATTTGTTGGCTCTGCCTGCCAATGCCTGTGAAACTCCTGTTGACTTTTTTGCAGGATCGCTGTCAGCCAGTAAAAGATGTGAAAAGAAGTGAGTTAGGATCTTGTGCCAGATAGGATGTCAGAACAGCTGCGAGTATGGGTCAACTACTTCAAAGTGGAAGGTCAGCCAGTTGCGTGGCAAGGTGCACTCCAAATGGCTGTTGGTTTGGATCTGTTCTTTTTGTCAGTGAACTGGCAAGTTCAGGGTGTGAGAAATCACAGGGACCCAACCCCATGAACGTGCCAACCATATAACCCTGAACAACCGCACAACAAGTGCAAAAGCAAAAACAAACAAGAAAAACATAGAAAAACGCTCACAAAACCAACAAACCAAACAAACAAACAAACAAACAAGGTTTGAACCAGCGGAGGCTTGCCGACAGCGTCAGGTGGTCCCCTGACGATCCTACTGTAGCCAAGTCGCGTCAATAGGTTCTTTGTCTGCCATGGTCGCCACCCGCTGTCGAGAAAGATGAGTTGCCGCCAAGGCAACCACAGACAGGCACCTGAGATGCTCATAGTGTCAGGCGTTTCATGACAAGGCCCCAATCGGATACATCAGTCCAAAGGAAACCAACAAAACAGTGCTGCTCTCACCAAAGAGTGGTTCCAAAGGACTCGCACGTCCAAGGCACAACTGGTCTACACGAGACCGGCCAGGACACGGGTAGAGCTTCAACCAGGGAGTAGGACATTTCGAGTGTCTGGCCGACAAGAAATGATTGGAAATTACAAGCTGTACACACTTTTACGAACTTGCCATGTTAGACTTATATATACAGTAGTATATACAGTATATACGCTGGCTGCTACCAAGCTTGGAAGCTAAGATTGCACATTTAAAAGGTAGTCCATTTTTGTTGTGGAGGGTTTTGACATTCGCCTGCTTGCAATGCATAAGCAAAGGCATACTGCATACTCGAGGTTACCTTTCGTCTAAAGCTTCAATCTGGCCAGGCTGAAAAGTGGAGGAATCCATACGAACTTTCAGCTCACCGATGGATTGAAATATCTTGTTTCACTGGTAAAAACTCCACTCGCGACTCGGCATCTCGCCTCTCCCTGTTTGGTGTGGCTAGTGGCCCGAGGGAACGGCATCCAACGATCATCGCACATGCAACTGCGTTGTCATGCAGAATTAGTGCTCGGTCGGTTCAGTCTTAAAGGCCACATTTTGTGTTGGGGTTCCAGAATTGCTTTCGGCATGCTATTCTTCGGGGCTATGCATGTGGAAGCCTTGGATGTCTATCAACCCAATTGTAATGCTAGCGGATTTGTTTTTGCTCTCTGTGGTTCGTGCTTACCAGGCCGTAGGGCCAACAGAGTGAGAGCTACGGTGCATCTGCAGATGTATTGCAAACACGATGCCGTCGTGCTACTGCACCCTTGTTGCTGTAGCACCGTGAAAAATGGTGAAAATGTCCGACTCTCCTGATCAAGTAGACGAGCTCTGTCGAGACATTCTTCCATCCGGCCTCTCACTGTCTCACTGCATTCATCAAAGAAATAGTTGATGCTTAGCCTTCGCTATGTTGTTGAAGTTGGTCGAACTTCTCCTTAAGCTCTTCCTTGTCCTTACGTCTGTTCTTCTCAAGCTGTGCCTCAAGTGAGCGGCAGAACGCAGAACCGAACAAAATGGCGCCTTTCACGACGAGCGGCCATGAGCTGCTCCATGTGCTGCGTCAAGACCTGATGGCCTGCACTCTGTGCATCACAACCCGCGACAACCCCCCCGTGCAGCGTTTTTCCCAAAACGAATCGAACAAGAACGTTCAAGAACTCTTTTTCCAATTGCCCAAGTGGCGTTTTTCCAGCTCGTCGTTGGGCAAGGTGGACTCCAACATCTGTCGGAAGCCCTCCACACCTCCACCAAAACATGGCTACGGCTACACCGGCTACGGAATGATCAGGTCCAAAGGTGCTATGTCCGGTCCAAGGGCGTGTTGGCCGGTTCAGGATGACGGCGATGACGGTTGATAGGTTGTATTTGAAATGGAAGGCGTGAAACCATGTGCTATCAGGGTGGAGACCATCGTTCTTAGGTTGGAGGCCATTGCTATTGGGTTGGAGCAAATTGTTCAATAACCTTTCAAGCTCCATGGGTTCCGTTCATCTCCTGGTCCAAGCTCGTCCAAGCCACGCTGGTCCAAGTCTGCAGAGTCGGCTTGCCGGCGCATCTGTTGATCCTGAAGTGCAAGCCCAAAGAAAGGACGCTACTAGGGGCCTTACTACTAGGAGCACGGACGCTACTAGGGATGATGAGTTTCCCCTAGAAACACGGTGCCCTGACTGACAAACCCTCCAAATCTTGAAGGTGTTAACCTTCAGCTTTGACCAGCGATATCTGCTTCTCCCACAATCTTTTGGATCAAAACGAATGCCTCATGATTCAAGGTGTGCTTTTCTGCTACTCAGCTACTCACTAAATGCCATGTAAATGCTCTTCCAGTCCTGATGACTGTCTCTGAGCTGTTTCATGGCATCTTCATGCCACTGCCGCTCCTTTTGGCACACTGAAGCGACATCGAAATTGCTACTAGTAGCTTCTTGATGCTTCTTGCTCCTAGTAGCGATGCCAGGAGCCCCTAGTAGCGTCCTTGCTCCTAGTAAGGCAAGGAACCCCTAGTAGCTTCTTGTTCCTACTAGAAGGGCTCGCTTCTCGCCTTGCCATCTTCCCTGTTCCATCCTGTTCCACTGGTCACCGTCACTTCGCTCGGGCGCGCCTCTTGCAGATCTGCGAGCGCTTGTCGCGCATCACCCAATTGCTTCAGGAAGTCAGTCTCCTCCAGGGCGCTTTGCCACAGTAGACCTTTCTTCCTTTTCATTCTTAGCTTCTCACAGCGATGGCCTCCAACCTAATAGCCATGGCCCACACACTTGACAATGCCTGCCGGAAAACAATATCTTTCCCACACTCCCACTACTGGCGCTTCCAAGCCACCCGTGCCGCGACGCAACTCCTGGAGCGATTTCAAGGCTTCCCGCTGTTCCTCCAGGTCGCTCCGCAGGTCGCGCAGCGAGCTTCGCACATCCTGGAGCCAAAAGGAGGCACGAATAGCGTGCTGATCCGAAAGTCGGAATTTGTTCCGACATCTTCTTACAACCGTCGGACATGGTCTGGGAGCGCCGTCGGTCCTGCAAGGAGTTCAAGGAATCCCGCTGCACCTCCGATGCGTCGCTTCGCAGTTCCCGCAGCGCTGTTCGCAGGTCCTCGAGATTAAACGAAGAGAAGGACATTCGAAACGAGAAAATGGTACACCATGGTGCACCAGAGAAATCCTGAACAGTTGTGAGAGTCCTAGTGCTAGTATGTGCTAGTGAAAAGTGCGGGAACGGGGTTCAACCATGGTCAAACGAAAGTGAAGGAGAGTGAAGTCGTGTGAGTAAAAGTACTTTAGGAGCACTGGATCATACCGAATCACCTATTAGCCTCATCAAGGCTTGTGTGATAGACTGGGAGTGAAGGCAAGAAAGGCATCGGAGCCTGGTGCGCGTAAATTCTAACACAACCGCGGACCCCTAGCTGGCTGATACTGATCTTGCCAACCTTATCCAAGTGCCGATGATGAGCAAGGAGATCCTCGTGACGGCCTGGGTGGACAGGCCGTGCAGTTCCATCCCATCGCATGTGATTCGTGACGGGCGACCGATTCGTTCGGCAACTCCCGTCTGCGCCTTCCACTAGTCGCTTCAGCTGACCCAACTCCGCAACCAGCTCTTTCTCACGTGCAGCTCCGAGGTGCAACTCCTATTCACAGGTCCGACCGACCCTCGCGTGTATGTGAAGCTGTGGGATGGAATAGATGTTTGTGCAGGGGCAAGGAGGCCCCTAGCGGCCTGGCTCCTAATAGCGATGCCCTTTAGTAGCTTCTTGTTCCTAGTAGCGATGCCAGGAGCCCCTAGTAGCGTCCTTGCTGATGTTTGTGAAGTCTGGCAACGCTACACTGGCTCCGCTAGGCATTAGCCCCTTCGACGAAGGTAGATCGGAATCGGAGCCACACAATTTCAATTGGGTCAGTCCTCTCTGAGGGCTTCCAACTTTGCTTCATGGTGCCAGGACTTGTCCTCCGAAAGAGTGCACCAGCCCAAAGAGCAGAACATCTAAAAACAAGAGCCAACATGATGGCTACAGCACTGGCTTCACTGAAATACCCTGGCCGATGCTCTGGCTTTTCAAACCCAGCGGCCCACTTCCTCAAGGGAGTCGCTCAGTCATGCAACTTGCACACATTGCCGCAGAACTAAACAATCGATCCCGATCTGAAACTGAGGAAAAATTGTTCCACAAGGTTCCATTTCATGGAACTGATGGAACCGAGGGAGGAAGCATGGTTTCAAATCAAGAAACGCGATCAGCTGTAAAAGCTGTAAGCTGTCTATGTACATCTGCAGTGCTATGCCTTCTTGTCATCCTCAGTGTCGGCACACGACCACTTTGATTCCGAGGTGTGGTTGGGCCCCGTGGAGTGAAGCCACCACGACGCTCCCGAGGAGAAGGGCGACAGACTTCAGGCAAGATCTGGCGATATTTGGACTCCAATTCCTGACACGTTGGGAGGACGCTACGATCGGGGCTCCTGGCCTTACTACTATGGTAACAAGAAGCTATTAAGAACATAACAAGAAGACTAAGTTAAAAGAGCCACGTTAGGAGCAAGGAGGCTATGAGGTGGAGCAAGTAGGTTGGAGGCCATCGCTACTTGTAACAAGAAGCTACTAGGAGCAAACATCGCTACGAACGAGAATGTGTGGCACGCCTCTCCCTCTCTCTCTCTCTCTCTCTCTTTCCCTCTCTCACGTTACCGTTTACCTACCTCTCTCTCTCTCTCTCTCGCTCCCGCTCCCGTTTGCCCTTTTCATCACCCCACCTGCCAACAGGTGGAAAAGTCACTGAGGAATGTAGCGAAGCTGCTGAAGAGATCCTTGGCCGCGAAGTGGACTGCTCTGAGAGCATGCTGACAGCGCTTGAAATATGGGTCGTTTTTCTCCACTACTTACTTAACCTGACAGCGTTTCGCACATGGGTATCTTGTTAGCTGCAGGGTTTGCACGACACCCGACACCATAACAATAAAGCACACGAGAGAAATCTCTGGCAGAGCAAAAGTCCAAAAAAGTCGGACTCAGAAGGGTTGCAAAATGAGCAAATTCGTATGAATCGAACAAATGATTGGATCTGATTGGCTCAGTGCTAGGGCTTCCTCGATCTCATCTATAATAAATGGAATCGTAAAGCGCACTGCAATCGCATTGGGGGATAATTTCTCACTTCAATCGCGCGGCTCGGTTGCTCCTCATTTGCTTCTAGGAGCCAGGACGCTACTAGGGGCTCCTGGCCTCCTACTAGTAAC